ATAGAACTGCATCTTCGATTTTTTGGAATAAAAATCAAAGATGAGAACAGAAGATTTTTAATTAGATACTGCCGACCAAAGTAAAGTAAGTAAAGTTTTCGTCTCCTTTGACGCTGGTTGTTTTTCCTCACTAGCAGCACCAGATGTTTTCGACTCCTATCGACCACCACGGATCTCCCTCATGTGAGGGATCTCGAGCCGGTTAGTCGCGAGGCTACGTGGCTGGTAGTGGGTTAATCGCAGACCAAAAGCCACTTTTCCTTCCCTGAGACGAGGTGGATCCAGGGGATGGGCTTCCTGTTTCTGCTGCGCTGATTTGGCACATACTTTCTGTACTTACGAGGTATATTCATGCACTCGTGTGTGGGTGCGTTCTAGTGTATGCGGATTGTAATTTTGGAGTTAATTCGGCCAAAAACCTGTGAACAAGTGGCAGGGAAGTACATGGGAGGCGGTTAGAAGTCGCCTCCAACAAATAAGCTCCATGTCCACTCTGGGAGAACCTGGTAAGCTACCCGTGAGTATACCCAACCCCCACGTTCAAAGCCCAGCAAGCTATATGTGGGTATCAAAAATGCTAAACACAGTAAAAAAAACGGGCCTCATTTCCCTGACCCCGAAAGAGCCCCCAATTTCGCAGCGTTGTGACGAGTACGGAGAAGCCGCTAAAATCTCAGGGCCAATGGATGCTGTCTGGATTGCAAAGAGCTAAGGTGACGATCTGTACCTACAATGCACGTACACTTGCGTCCTATTTCTCGATAGGAAGACTTGCACATGCAAGCAAGAAGGGTAAGAAACGACGTCATCGGTCTGGCTGAGACGAGATAACGTCACCCATTCAACGCCGTCTATACACCAGGGAAGAACTGTTCCTCGCAACATGCGACAGTAGAGGAGTCGGCGAGGTTGGCGTTCTCGTCAACACGAATTTGTCCATGAACATTGATTCATTCGAACAACTAACTACCCGAATCGACGTTTAAGATTAAAAAGATGAGGATCAATACCACCTTCGACAATCTTCGTTGTTTACGCGCCGACATTAAACTATGACGAAGAAGAAGTGGAAACGTTCTATATGGACTTGGAGAAGTTCTACAAAGAAGACCACACATTCTTTAAGGTCATCATTGGAGATTTCAACGCCAAGATTGGACCAAGAAGAACGTCACAATGGAACCCACGGATTAGAATGCGACGAACAGGGAGAGCGGTCGTCTGAGTTTATCTTGGCGACGAAGACAATCCGTGGTAACTCGCAATTCCAGAAGCCCCAACCTCAGCGCTAGCCGTGGGATTCTCCCAATGGAGAGTACCATAATGAAGTAGACCACATCGTAGTAAATAGAAGGTTTTGGTTAACTTATGTCGCTGTTGTACCAAACTTCTACACGGCATCAGACCGTCGTCTCTTTCGTGCAAGATTCTATTTCTTGCGGAAAGGAGAAAAAGCCGCTAAATTCCAAAACCGAGATCCCAGAACCACCGTAAACTGGGATTTATTTAATTCATTAGTCTGCTGTTGGGAACATACCACTGTCGGTAACATCGACGAAGAATACGATCGGCTCATTCAACATCTTCACGTTAGCGCTATAAAAGCTCAGAGTTCGAAAGTCACCAGAAACACTCGAGCTGATACGCCAGCGTGCAATCGAACGAGCTGCGGGCAACCGCAAACTAACGTCCCAACTTCCAAACAATGCAGATAGGCGATAAAAGAAAATCTTAACAGAGAAGAGCAATAGTAATGGTCGAAGTTGCAGAGGCTGGGAAAAGCATTAGCAAAGTCCGCGGAAGCTTCGCCAATTACAAGATCAAGATGATTGCACTCCGACGCCCAGACGGAACAGTTACAGCGTCCTGAAAGGCAATGGAGAAAATCATTCACGAGTACTACACGGACGTCTTCGATAGCCACGTCCATCTTGTGTCATATGAAATTAAGGAGGATAGATATGTTGTGCCACCAGTTCTCCCTTCCGACATCCGGCATGCCATTTCGTCGGTGAAAAATCGAACAGCACCAGGTCCGGACAGAATAAGACCAGAACACCCGAAGAACCTTCCACCAGTCCTCGTAAACACACTAGCTCGGCTTTTCACATGTTACATGTCTGAATGCAAGGTTCCTACTCAGTGAAGACCAGCAAGACCGTGTTATCGTTCAAAAAAGGTGACCTACACGATATCGGCAACTATCGTCCAATCTGCTTGCTGTCTGTCGTCTACAAACTCTTTACTAGAATCATCCTAAACAGGATTGGTAGAACACTAGACGAAAGACAACCATGTGAGCAAGCAGGATTTCGAAAAGGACTCAGCACGATGGACCACATCCGCACGATAACAAAGCTCATCGAAGAATCGCGAGAGTACAGAAGACCGCTCTTTCTCACTTTCATCGATTTACAGCAGGCCTTTGATTCAATTGAGATAAAAGCAATCTTGGAAGCCCTCGATAGTCAGCGAGTCCCCACTCAGTACATAAAGATTCTTCGTGAGCTGTACAAAAATTTCACAGCCAAGATATCACCATTCTGCAACGATATTAACATTGACGTCAAAAGAGGAACTAGGTAAGGCGATACCATCTCGCCAAAATTTTTTACCACCATCCTCTAGATCGTCATGCGAACATTAGAATGGGATAATATGGGAGTGAAAATCGATGGTCGGCAGTTACACCATCTTCGCTTTGCTGATGACATCGTCCTTATAATACGAAACACTAGCCAAGCGGAACGCATGCTTGACGACTTTGATAAAGCCGGTGGAAAGATTGGTCTTCCACTAAATCTCACAAAAACGGTGTTCATGAAGAACGGATTGGTTTCGCATGCCCCATTCAAGATCAACGAAACGAATATCTCCGAATGTTCCAGTTATGTCTATCTAGGTCGGAAATCAGTTTGATGGAAAGAGCATTGAGGATGTAGTGGAGAGAATAAAGAACACCCGACTCCATGGCCACCTTTTCGACTCAACGGTACTTCCTGCGTTAACGTATGTGACCGAAACCTGGTCGCTGCGTAAGCAGTGTGAAAGATCACTTAGCCTTATTGAGCGAGCAGTCGAAAGGACAATGGTAGGAGTATCCCGTTTCACACAAAGGATGGGATCCGAAGCTCCGATCTGCGTCAACGATCAGAAATCAAGGATGCCGTTCTGTACGGCAAACAGTCGAAGATAAGGTGGGCCGGACACGTAATGCGCATGAATGACAACCGGTGGACAAGAGCCTGGATTATAGTGACTGGATTCCTCGGGATGTGAAATGCACTGTAGGAAGGCCACCGACCCGATGGTCAGAGTTGTTCACAAAGAACCTTGAAGAAAGATATGTTCGACGAGTCCCTAGAGCGAGGGGAACCTACTGGACTACTCTTGCACGCGACAGCGAAAAGTTGAAGATTTACTAGTACCCGCTCGAGTCACTCGGCGGTCAACGGGACTACTGGTGATACTGCCGACCATCGATTTTCACTCCAATATTATCTCATTCCAATGTTCGCATGACGTTCTGGAGGGTGGTGGTAAATAATTTTGGTGAGATGGTATCGCCTTGCCTAACCTCTCTTTTGACGTCAATGTTAATATCGTTGTAGAATGGTGATATCTTGGTTGTGAAATTTTTTGTACAGCTCACGAAGAATCTTTATGTACTGAGTAGAGACTTCTTATCTATCAAGGGCTTCCATGACTGCTTCTAACTCACTTGAATCAAAGGCCTTCTGTAAATCGATGAAAGTGAGACGTGGCCGTCTTTCGTACTCTGACCATACTTCAATGAACCTTGTTATCGTGTGGATGTGGTCCATCGTACTAATAAATCCTTTTCGAAACCCTGCCTGCTCACATGGCTGTCCTTCATCTAGTGTTCTGTCAATCTTGTTTAGGATTACTCGAGTGAAAAGTTTGTAGACGACAGACAGTAAGCAGATTGGGCGATAGTTACCGATATCGTGTAGGTCATCTTGCTTCAACTAAACCGCCCTCTTACTGGTTTTCCACTGAGTAGGGCATTCAGATAGCTAACGTGTGAAGAGCCGAGGCAGTGTGTCTACGACTGGCGGAAGGTTTTTCAGGCGTTTTGATCTTGTCCTATTCGGACCTGGTGCTGTTCGGTTTAAAAGAGGACGGTTTAAAAGGGAGAAATAAAAATTGGCTACCCTTGTTCCTCTGTCTGCAGTTATTTGCGAATGATTTTTCTCTAGCTGTTTCGTTACTTGTCAGTATTAAAACATGGTCTACAAGGCTGTCTTATTTTATGTAGTGTTATCCCAAGAAATTTCCCCTCAAACGTGTGGTTCTTATATTATGTAGGGGCGCCGTGCAATACACTTGGGAACGATCCCCGCCCTCCAGGTTCACCAAGATCTCTATCCCTCCACGGTCGGCACATTGGTACCATACTTTGTCTGGGAAGATAGCAGGACTGGCGCGATACATCGGTAGGCCACCGCGAGTCATTTCATGGGTCAGATACGCATTCAGTCAGAATTCAGAATGAAGATAATGAATTCGAATGCATGTGGCATCCCTCAGGGATATATCAACACAGAGAGCTTTTTCCTTATATTATTTATGAATGAAGGTGTAACATGAATATCTGTGGTATCCACGAAAGCATTCCTCATTGCGAGTTTTGTAGGTAGAGTGGAAGAATCATTGGACACCTGTTGTCACCTGCTAGATTTTTGGCGTAAACGGGAATGGTGTGTAGAGGACGAACGGATGCAGCTAACTTTGGGCCCAGCCGACGGGCAGTGTTTGCTGAAAGATACTTCAAGCTTAAAAGCTGGTGCAAAATTTGAAATATCAGTTAGAAATTTATGAGTTTGATGGCATATCTGTCTTACTTGCTTACGATTTGAAGCATTAATGAGCGGAATATTTTTTTAGTCAAAGAATCAAAGGAATGGACACTTGTATTACAGACAAGTTATATTTATTAATTAATTTACTAGTTTAATATGGGAGTAAACTTCAAGCACATGGAAGTATTAGTTTCTAGAAAGTTATATGTCCGCTTGTGCTATCCGAGTAAGTTAGCGTGAAAAATATTACGGAGCTACGTGCCTTTATATGCACCAACTGAACTGACGCCATCTACTCAACTCGTTGAATATAGTCTAGCAGTATTTTTCTCGTTAGTATTTTCTGAGGATGGTGCCAATCTATGGGACTAGAGCTCTAAACAGTAAATGATTTAGGAACGCCTTCGGTCGGACGAGAATTGTCTTCGGCGGCTCCCTTGTTCGCCAACCCTTTAGGAATTGGAATCGGAACGCCCATTGTGAATCCGAGTGTGGGTAACAGTCAAACAGGACTCGAAATGACCGTCTCTGGTGGGCTATGCTTAGTAAAATAGATGTCTAGTTGCTGGAGTGGTACAATGCCAACTTTTTATTTACTGCCTACTACTACTACAATTTTTCGCGGTGAGGAACTATGTGAAATACAACCACAAAAAGGGCGCTGAGATATTTGCAAAACTCCGAACCGCAGGTGTCTGGGCTGCGGATCGGAAACGCTATTACCCTTTCCAGGGGCTAACGCGCTCACCACTGCACCATGCGGCTCCTATGTTTGACCTTTCTCTCAGCTGCTTCTATCTAGCAGTGCCATCAACAATCACCCGTCAATGGGATTGATCAGCGTAGCATGAATTGGCTTCAGTCGGACTAATTGGACTACAGCTTCAGCTTAACTCTGTTTAATGCCGATCTGTGCTCCACAAATCAGTTCATTGACTGATAATTGGTGATGGCACTGTTAGATAGAATTAGCTGAAGTAAAGGCGAAACGAAAGATCCGCGTGAGGTGGTGGTGAGCGCGTTAGTCCCCGGAAAAGATAACAGCATGTTCGATCCACATCGCAGACATCTGCGGTCCGGAGTTTTGCAAATATTCCATCATCACTTGGTTGTAATGTAAAATACCTTGTTCTAAAAGACTATAAGAATACGATTTATAAAGCGACATATTGAACAGTATTAGTTATCCATTTATCCAGTTGTCGATAGCGGAATGTCGGTTTCTGAAGCTGGAGGCCAATCCGTGTCGAGCGGAAGCTATGGCGGTGGCGGTGCGAGCTCTCCCACTGCTGCATGGACAAGATTTAGAGCGCAAGTTCGTTTATTAAACGCTCCCAATTGATTCTATATTTATATATGTAGAGGTGTAGTGTGTGCTGATGTGATCCTTTGTTGGCACATCTGCGACACTTAATTTCATGTAGTAATGACTTGAGACCAGACCTAATTTTTGCCACACACGTAGTGATTTGAAATCACACTTACAAGTAAGAACAAACGACACAAAAAATCCTCTCTTTCTCTCTTTTACTGCACGCTTCACTTCGTACTTTGTTTCTTGTTTTTTTTTTGTTAATTTCTGGGTTTCTTATATTCTATGTATCCTCTCATCATCCGTCTAACCGCTTCTGGCAGATGTTTTCACAACAGATGTGAAGAAGATTCTCATATATAGCCTGTCCACAACGAGGTGCTAACCAGTTGTCAAAAATCGGAAAATCGGACTTTATGTGCTTATAATTATAACACAGTAGATAATGCTGGTTATTGTGGTACTCCGAAAGTTTTTTGATAACCGTAGTGCTTGTCGTTTGCATCAAGATAAACCACCGGAAAGAAAGTTAATAGAAAGTGTAGAAATCAGCTTACACCGGCCACTGTGTTCCTCACGTGTGAGTTGTCATTGCGAATATGTTAAATTTTAACCTTAGTATCACGGGCAGAAACTTGCATAAAATGTTGAGAATTTCCGTTTTTTGTTTAATTCGACTGATTCAAGGCCAATATGTGGATGGCTTTGGCTGAGCTCTTTCTTGCTGAAGGTCGTTTAAGTGAAGTTGCACCATGTGTGGAGCAAGCAACCACTCTTTTTCCTCATGCCCATCAGGCATTTTACCTAAAGGTAGGTTCCATTAATTAAGTCCATGTGTTCTAAGCGTTATTTTCACTGTACTGCTAGTGTGGAGATCATCTGTGGTCGCAGCAAAAGTTTTGCCTCCTTTATTTTACAAATTATTTTTGGTCTTCTTTATTTTAGGTTTGCGTTTGCAAATATGACGATTTCAGGGTAGATTGTTCATGGCAAGAGCTGAAAAAGCAACTGATGAAGCAACAGCTCTGAAATTCCGGAGTGAAGCGAATGTAGGCGTTAATGTTCCCTTCTTTAAGAAATTCTAGTAATACGATTATTTCAGGCATCATTACTCTCAGCACTAGCCCTTTGTCCATCCCATACACCAAGTTTGTTTCATCTTGCCAAGCTGTATACATCTGAGGGAAACACTGTTATGGCTGAACTAATGTACAAGTAAGTTCGTAGATAAGTTCCTGGAGGTTTCAAAAAGAGAAGTGACTGTCCCAAATTTTCTTCTTTAAAAAAAACACATGGTTTCTATGTACTAATGGTGCGAATAAATATAGAATGAAAAGGTCATGGGTTGTAATATCACCACCATAGAACCGAAGCTTTAGGTTTGGATTAAATTGTCGAATAGTTGGCAATGGCACATACTTGGATACTTGGACGACCCGTCCTCACTGACTGTGCAGACCCCATCACCTTCTCCATTTTTCAGAGTTTTGCTGGTTAGCCATTGTTTCCCTGGAGTCCCGACGCCAGCCTGGTTGTCACCACCACAGGCAGTCACCGTCGTTGTGGATCAGAGGGAGATTTGCCACTATACGACTACTTTCGTACCAGGACGGTGACGGATCCCGGTATTGGCTTACTAGGCTTCCTGAGGGAAATGCCGGACTCCTCCTCAACTTGGCAGACCCTTCCACGGGATAAATCCCTCCCGTTGTACATCCCAGCCCGACACTCAGGAACACCTCCCAGCCACGGTGAGGTGGTAAACCGTTGGGAGAGGTTTATAGTAGGTCAAAGGAAATTGTTCTGGATCTTTAAAAGACTAGAAATGTTAAAATACGTTTAGGGAATTGGTGCGTGTTGATCCACTAAACTGCCAGTGGTGGCAGAATCTTGGTTGTTGCCTCATGCGTCGAGGCAACGCTGTTCAAGCCATGGATTGCTACGCCGCAGCTTCTCAGCTCGACCGCTCCACACCACTCGTCCCGTTCGCTTCCATACCTCTCGCTTTTCCATCATCAGTTTGATACGGAGTGTAAAGCATATTTTTGACCCTCATAAAGAAACCATACACAATAGTAGAGTGGAAGTGACATGATTGTCGTTGAATAACTACCGCACTTCTGATCTATGTAGTGTCTATTCTGAATTCAATTGGCCTCAAAGTCTTTAAGCAATCATATATATGTGACTTTTGGGTAGCTACTAAATACTTAATCCAACTCATATTAGCAATGAGAGACGTATTAATATACATTTTCTTCTCAATTATTATTGTAACATGTTAATTTGTTCAGAAAATTAACTGAGTCGTCGAAATCAGTATTAGTCTTCATGATAGATGTGTTTCAGGCGGTTTCCGTTATGTTAGAAAGAGAAACGATAGAGCGTTTTCAAATTTGCAAATGTAATAGTAGAAAAACGTCCCGGATTAGCTATCCCAGGTCTCAGAGAAATCGACTCAACCAGAATTCAACGTCATTTCTATGACAGGACTGCCTAAGTAGTAGCCAGTAGCGTACACAAAAATTCCAAATACTTTCTTATATCATGGATGGATATGTGGAAACAAATCAAACGCTGGATGAAAGTGCTGAGATCCGCGCAATATTTGTAATACAGGGTTGTGTAGAAGAAAAGGTAACCTTTCCAGAAGCGTGAAGAACGGCCCATCCAATTTGTTGGTGCTAGAGAAGAATGACATTGATGGCGATATTCGTATTCATGAGCACATCCCATAAAATTTTACCTATCATCAGGAACCAAAGAGTGACTTTTTCAGAGAAGTGAATGCAGTGTCCTTTCTAGAAGCTAGGCAAATCATTCATGGCTTTTTGATACAGATCAAAAATTTTCTTGGAGAGGTTTTAGAGCTCATTCTTGTGAATTGTTTAGTTAGTCTTTAACAACGTGTGCTACCGGTGCTATTAGCGTTCGTAGCCGTGGGAAATTTATTGTCCGAAGTGGATTGCCAGGCATGTAAACAACTATTGTAACATTCTAAGTCACCGTTCGGCAATCGTAATCATCACAATTTGAATGAAGGATGGGGCGTTCGACGTTGATCAATCCCTGAGGGTGCACTATGCATTCTACTCCATTCGTAGCATCGTAGAGATGATTGAATGCACATCTGACTTGTACAATGACTTACGGCCGCGCCTACCGATGAGCCGAGTCCGTGCTGCTATACTCCAAGACTAGTCTGGGACCAACTTATAGATTCCGGAGGCACGGAAAGATCGCTTAGACTAGGGAGGCAGTGTCGAACTAGAGACCTTTTAGTGTATTGCGATGCACTTCTAGTTACTGCACCATATGTGCTCACGCAAATAGAATAACAACTGAATAGTTGAGCGTACTCTGAGACGAAATTCGTGCTAGGAAGGTCACGCTCCAATCCTTTCAGCTAATTTAAATTCATTTAAACGGAACAAAACAACCAAAAATGACTGAACACCATTTTTTTTTCATCCAAAGGAAAAACTACAACTAAAAATAGTAGATCGTTTAGAAGGGCACAGTTGTTAGAGTTGCCCGGCAATACAGATGAGTTCGATTCGGCCCCCCAAGCTCACCAAGCCCCCTATCCCAGGAGTCGGCGAATTGATAGCAGACCTGTTTGAGAAGATAACAGTACTGACTAGATACATCGGCATGCACCTATAAATCATCGCATTGGCTATATCTGCATTCACTCTCCTCTAACTATACTTAATAAAATCAAATGCATGGCGCACCCCTGTGATTGATCAGCGCTAGGGTTTTATCCGTTTTTTTTGTCGCTTGAAGAACACGTATTCAAGATATTCTCTTCACGTTACTTTAATAAATATAAATTTTTATCTTATTATTTACTACCTGCTCTTTTTAACGGCAGGATATATTGCGAAATATAACTTCAACGATGCTGAGATATTTGCAAAACTCCAGACCGCAGGTGTATGCAGTGGGGAACGAACGCGCTATTGTCCTTTCCGGGGAGTAATGCGTTCACCACCACACCGTGCGGGTCTTTCGTTTCGCCTGTCTCTCAGCTAGTTCTATCGATCTTTTGCCATCAGCAATCACCCGTTAGCGGGATTGATCTAGGGAGCTCAAATCGGCAACGAACCCAATTAAGCTGAGGCTGTAGTTATAATCACAATTCTGACTTACTATTCACTGCCTACTCAGAGACAGGCGAAACGAAGGACCCACATGGTGTGGTGGTGAATGCATTACTCCCCGGAAAGGACAATAGCACGTTCGTTCCCCACCGCATACATCTGCGGTCTGGAGTTTTGAAAATATCTCAGCATCATTGAAGATAAATTTTTGTATTGTCTAGTCCAGTGGGAGAATGTTTATTCAGAACAAACACATCTTCTCCCCGCCCACCATATAGGGCTTTCTTATCGTCCCTACTCGAGAGAGATGAGGCGTTAATGTAGGATCGAACTGAGTAGTGGTTTCGATGAAAGTGAGGAATGGTCTGGAACACCTTTACATAGTGTTCATGGAGCGAGTGACAATAAGATGAAGTGAATAAACTAGCATGATAAGATAGAGAGTATTCTTTATGTGGTAGAAAATAACATGTATCACCTGTCGTCCCAGTGGTCGTTGAGCGACTCGCGTAAAACTTCCAAATCTCTCTGTCGCGCGCAAAAATAACCCAGTGGGTTCTATATGTATCATATGTAACTGTAGCCTCACAATTCGGTGAATTACATAGTATTAATAAAGATCCAGTATACTAGAAGGCACCAATTTTCAAAATCACCGATCTTGCCCGTCTGCCAGCCTGTGTTGTTCACAAAGATTGCTGAGTGGGATCCACTCATGGGGATGTGCATCAAAAAATTCCGGTCTTTCTCCTGTACGTTTGACGTCCCTAGGAATCCAGTTGCTAATGGCTCTTGTTGTTTGCTGTTCATACTCACTACGTGTGCGGCCTACTCTATTTACGACAATTTGGCGTATAATACATTGTATTTGAATTCTGATCGTTGACCTAGGTTGGAGTCAACATAAATGGTCTGAGGAGCAAAATCGGCATTGAACCCAGGCTGAACTCGCTGTCGAAATCATGTTTCGACTTTAATTAAGCGCTTAGTGTCTGTAATAGCTATACTTTAGCCAGAAAGTAAACCGATTGTACGATTGTAAACCGTAGCGACCATTCTACTTCGGTTCATAATGACCTTAACTAGAAGCCCCGCGACGCTGCCATGTGTGGGCGGATCAGCTGCTCAGGTAGTTGCCAAACGGTGGAAGATATGTTGACGGGTCTCAAAATTTACATTGTATCATATATGTTTTATTTCATCAGAATATGAATGATTAGAACACAACACGTTTTCCGTTTATATCTTGCTACTTTACTTTTCACCTAAATTCTCGTAAATTGCGTTAAGAACAGATACGAGTAAAACACTCAACCAATCGTAATTTTTACTTGATTTACGTAACATTTTCTCGAAACCTTTGGAAACCCTAAAACATTTCCACGGACCTTCATTGGTTTCTAGAGTATACTCGGCCGATGTTCCATTTGTAGGACAATGGAGAAGCAACCACACCAATCAGATTAGTATCTTGAAGAGCCAACATGTCATGTCCATATTGCTTAAAGAGAGAAACACAGTTAGCATTAGCATTATCCAGCAACAACGACATAACCTACTAGGTTTATCAGATTCAAATGCTAAATTAATTTAAAGAGGCGACGACTCCGGTTGTACAGTCGATCTTCTCTTGTTTTTTGACTTTCTTAAAAGCATAGCTTTCAACAACTCAGGTCATTGTTATCACCTTTTATTCATTTGTTGGAGAGGTTTTGTTTAAAACAAACTGAAAAAGGATAGCAATGGTACTATAGAACACACATACACTCTTATCTCTGTACCCACAAAAAACACTTGCCCAACCAGCATCGCAATCTACTAAGCCTTCCAACACAAAACTGCGTCCGTGGTTGAGAGGTAAAAATCTCGCTGCCACGCAGGCGACCCTAGTATGGCGGTCGGCAGCGAGGCACTTTCAAACCGAACCTTGAAAATGTCTGATTAGAACTTATTATACAATATTAACACATCAACACGGGGAATCATAACGTGGTTAAAATATCAGCTCACATCCTTGCTGCATAAAAAGGCGCTGGAAGGGCCGTTCGGATTTAAAAGTTAGCGTGGAGTTTTGCATCGATGTGCGAAGAGGCAGACGGCCGAATCGCTAACGTAGCGATGTCATTATGGCGAGGTCGGATCAAACTATTCGAACAACCTGGTTGAGAGTTGTTATTGTGGGAACGAACAGTAGTTATAGATAATTTCTTACGAACGGTCCTTGTTTATTCCCATGACCGACTTTCTGTTAACCTCGGCATTAATTGATAATTCAATGTTTTTCATCAATAAGCAGACAACGAGGTTGTTAATATAGAATTTATTAGAACACAATTGCTGACGTTTCGGCGGTTTCGCCTTCTTCAGAGCCTGGAAAGGTCAAATTGAGATGTGATCTACTCAGCCAAACACTTTCATAACCCTAGCAGATAAAACTTGATAAATCGATTTGTGTTCGCATAAGAAACAGCTTCATTCAAACACCTACCGTTTATTTGTCGTAAGTATTTAAGTTAGTTGGTGGATAGCCGCCGCACAGAGTAATACATGGTCGATAACTGGGTCCATGTCAGATCATTGGATCAGCCTGAGGTATGGCGCTAGGTCACGCGTGATGACAAGACACTCCTCCTTGCGGTTCATTTTTGAATTTTTGGCATTGATCCAAAACGCTTCAAGAGTTTTTCGCGCTGATGTTTTCGATTCCTGCGTAAGGATAGTGACTCCTACCTCAAAATCTTCTCCGTTGTGTTCTTGCATCCTATGCGCGCCTAGGTCCTTGTTTAAGCTAGCGTTAGGTTGGTATCTCTTCTTTTTCAAACACGATGGCTCACAGTTTGACGATTTCGCATTGTTCAGAGCCCAGACGTGCTATACCGTACTATACCATAACATATTTTATTATTCGAGTAGTATTT